TAATAAATGAACTTAGAGGGAAAAATATTGCATCTTTATTTTCGCCAGCCTCTAACTGAAATTTACATTTCTGTCCATTACAAATGCAGAGAACAGATCATGGTAGTATTAGCAGTACCTGTGACTTAATCGCCAATGGAAATCACAGACAGTTTTATGTCACATTTCAGTTATTAGAGGTGTCATGAAATATTTTTTACACCCATCAGTCCCTTGAAATTACAATGGTTACTAGACCTGTATCTAGATCTTGTTATTTACTACATTAATAGCAAGTACTTACATAACTATAGCACAATTTTTTATTTTCAATATTTTTATAGCTGCATTTTAATATAATCGATTTCCTTTGTAATCCTACATGTTTTATTTTATGAATTTAAAAACATTATTCTGAGAAAGGGTCCATAAGTTTCACTAGACTGTCAAAGTCCATGGCACAAAAAAGGTTAAGAACCCCTGATCTAAAAGGTTTTAATCCCCTACCAGCTATATGATTTTTCAAATCTGTGATGAACAGCTGTGATAGGTTTCGAGAAGGATAATCTGCTTTTCCCAGGTAAGAAAGTTAACGAAATTAAATGACGATGGTAGAGAAATGAACTTGCCTAAAAATCACTGTTATGTGCCTTGATTTGAACTAAGCACCTAACTAGACTGTAGGTGCTTAGAGGGCAGCTACCTATTCTCTAGGTGTGCTCTATAACCTCTCTGTGCCTCAGTTTCCTCATCTCTTAAGTGGGGATGATGGTAGTAGCTAACTCACGGGGTTGTTGTAACAATTAAACTGGATAATGTCATCTAAAGCACTTAGCACTGTGCCCGGCACAGGGTAGGTAATCAAGAATTCAGTAATTATAATACTAAATATTATACCAGATTTGTCAATTTCCTTCTTGGTTGTCCACAGTACGAATAAAATCTTTAAATATATTAGTCAGAAAACCATTGATTGCACATGGTTTTTTTTTTTTGAGTATGCAATCTTCTTAAGGCAGATTATATGTTTTGTAAATGTTTGATAAACCTATTACAAAAAAAATCACCTAATGGTTAAAGGCACAAGCTTGAAGTCAGAAAGTTGTGGGTTCAAATCTGACCTCCACCACTTACTACTTATGTGACCCTGAGAGCTTCTTTAACTTTCTCAAGCCCGTTCTATCACGGGAATCATAATACCTACTTTACAGGGTTGTTGTGGGAGATTAAATGAGATAATATATGTAAAGTGCCTGGCACATAGCAGGGACTCCATGTTGTTGTTGGTAAGTGCCGTTGAGTCAGTTCTGACTCATAGCAACCCTGTGTGCAACAGAACGAAACACTGCCCGGTCCTGTGCCATCCTCACAATCGTTATGCTTGAGCCCATTGTTGCAGCCACTGTGTCAGTCCTAGGGACTCCGTAAATGGTATCCATTCTTCTTTTTTTTAATAATTGCTAAATGCATGACAAACTTGTGAAGTAGGGATATTTCCTTAATGTTTCACACAAGGTCCTCTGAGACATGGTCCCTGACTCCCTTTCCAGTGTCAACTCTCACCACCCCATCTCTCACATTTTATTCTCCAGTAACAATGAACTGGCCCCTATTCTCTCTACCTAGATCACCCTTCCCTGTTTCCAAAGCTAACCCCTCTCCATGCTCCTGCAACGTGTGTGTGGGGGTGAAAGTCAGCACGTGCATACACACACACACACACAAACACACACACACACACAAACACACACACACACCACTCTATCATCATTTACCACTGGTACTGTTTTTGTCTCTATATATCTGTCTCTCCAGCTAGGCCATGAGGTCTTTGGGGGCTTGGGCTGTGTCTTATTTACCTCTGAATTCCCACTAGCACTGCACCTGGCACAGGGCAAGTGTAAAGTAAGTGACTGTTGAATGACTCCCTCTGAGAATGAGGCACCCCTTATATCCCCTTTCTGCTCCACCCAGAAAGACGCCAGCTTTGTCTGGAAGTGGGGCCTCCCTCTGCTCTCTGGGTTTATGCAAGAACGTTTTGCTGCTTGGAGTCTCTCCATCCAACACAATATATGTCAGCAAAGCAAGGCTGCATGGAGCGGAGCCAAGGAGGCCCTGCCCAGTCAGCCTCCCTGCAGAGGTATGCTATATGTCAATACAAGCTGGACTTGTATGCAAATACCAGTCAGCTTTCTGAACTCTATCTCTAAACTATCTAGATTTTTCTATATCTAAATTATATTTGCTCTTGATCAGCCTAGATATAGTATGCAGAGCTGTGCTGAATTATTAACAATACTGCTTGAGAGCAAGGACCACAACAAGGGAAATGTCAAGGGGACAAAAATCTTGAGTTTAATGGTGCCAAATTCCAAGAAGGAAATATTGCAACCAAGGGCCCCATCCCAAGGTTATACACAAACATAGGAGGACTCAAGCAAGTATGGAAGCAAAAGGTCCGAGCAGTTCTCCAGAGACAACTTAAACATCTATGGATCTAATATAATTCTCTATCATTACGTTTAACATAAAATAATTTTAACAAGAGCAAAATCATAAATATTGTAATTAAAAAACAATTCGGTAGGCTATAAGTCTACACAGTGCATATGAGATTTCGTATTCCACCACCTCCTCTGGCTTTTACCTAGGAATATTCGGAAGAAGGTAAAGAAGGAGGAGGTGGAGACAGAAGATCAAGAAGAAAAGAAAAGAAATGAACACCTGTACAGGACTGGAGTTTGATTGAACAAATAGAGAATGCTCAGCAGTCTGGCGAGGACACGGGCCATAGTCTCAGTTCTGCTGGTCTGGTCAGTGATCCCAAAAGCCTCTTTCATTTCTAATCTTGGGATCCTGTCAAGAGCCAGGGATAGAGTTTATTTCTAGCTTTCTGCCCACTACAGCAGAGTACTGCCCCCTCCATTTCTGCAAATAGTGGGGCCCTCTGTAAGACTCACAGGGCCCTGAGAACAGAAATTAGTTGTCACCTTTGCTCCTAATCAGCAGGGCTGATGCTTGTGGCACCTGGAGGAAATTTCCTATCTGTTGTTGTTGTGTTCTGTCAGGTCGATTCTGCCTCATGGCTACCCTATATGACGGCGTAGAACTGCCCCATAGAACTTCCTAGGCTGTAATCTTTAAAGGAGCAGGCTGCCAGGGCTTTTCTCCTGCAGAGTGTCTGGTGGGTTCAAACTACCGACCTTCTGCTTAGCAGCTGAGCGCTTTTAACTTTCGCGCCACCAGGGCTTCTCAACCTCGCATCTACGGAAGCCCAATCTACAGGGTCTCAGGCAAGCGGAGTTCCACTAGAAAGAGGATGGCTCTGGCCCTGATTGGTATTCCTAGGCCTGCAGCTCGGCAACAGAGTCCTCTTTCCTCCTACTCTCAGAACCAATGTAACTTGGATTCCACTAGGAGGCACCTCTGGTGTCTCCCAAAGATCTAAACTGCGACCCAGTCAGGAAGTGTTCAATGTCTTGGACACAAGGTGGCAGTATATACTGCTCTATTTCAAGGGCCATGGACTGGTGAATGAAGAGCAAAAGCAGGGGTGGGGAGTGCTGACTAAAACCAGAATCTATTTCAGTTTTGTGTGAAAACTGAACACCATTAATATTTTAAAAAATTTCAGGAACGTATAATTACCTAATCCAGCACATACAAAGTATTTCAAGTCTCCAAGAACAGAGACACCCTGGAAGCCTACCACTTGCCCACCCAGCACGTCCCCCCTACATTTCACAAACCTGGGGTATGACCCAGGGTACCAACCTTCCCTGCTTTCCTCAGATGTGTCATTTTACCCTACCTCAGCTCTCCGATCACCCTTTCCTCAGAGCCAAGAACTTCTCAGGCACTTTACTCCTTTTCCCCCAGTGCTCCTCAGGTATATGAATATCTAATCACCACATCTCTTGAAAGAGTAAAGACCTAAAGGGGCAGGTGGGGTTCAGAGAAGAGGGGGAAGAAAAACTTTGGAAGGATAAGTGAAGTGAGGAGAAAGGGTCAAAACTGAGGAGAAAAGGCACTGCTGGAGTGAGGGAAGCGAGGGGAAAATAAAATGAGGGAAATGAAGGGGGAAGAAAGAAAACGAGGAGGGAAAAAGGGAGAGAAAAGTGGTTAACGAAGAAATAGAGAAAATGAGGAGAAAACAAATGAGAGAAGGGGGCAAGGAAAAGGGGAAGAGGGAGGAAATGGGGGAGAAAATAAGGGAAATGGGTAAAGAGGAAAAAAGGAAAAATGAAAGAGTGGGAGAAGAAGGGGGGTGTTGAGAAGAGAGAGATGAGAGAGAGAAGGGACAGAGCAGAGAGAAGCCTGTTGGGGAGCTGGCATTTCAGGAAGCCGAGACAGAGAGCTCCTCAGACGCGGTTCAGGGAAGAGAGCAGAGAGCAAGTGTAGAAAACAGGGACGATAAGTGAAGTGAGAAGTACAGGACAGAAACTGAGGCCACTTTGAGCGTGCCTGTGTGAGTTTGGCTTAAAGCATTTATTGGGTGCTCCAGATGTGTGCCTGGCACTCTCTGACTCTCCCCGAAAACCGACCTGCGGGGGGGCGGCGGTTTCAGGCTGTGACAGGACGGGCTGTCACCGGCGGCGCCTCTCCTGTAGGGGGACCCGGGCGCGGTAGGGACATTTCCCCTCCCGCCGAGTTGGGACTTGCAAGGCAGGGCGACTGGGGCGGCGCGGCGGCGGGACCCGCTGCTTGTAGATCTCAGGCGGAGGATGCGCCCTGAGCGCAGATAGAGCCAGAGCCTGGGCTCCAGGCGCGCGGAGGGAGGGCGAGCGCGCCCGGCTCCCGAGAGCGCGGGCGACGGTGCGAGCGGCAGGCTGTGTGGGTGCGAGGGTGC